TTTTTTTTTTCGTAGCTACTTTACCATAATTCTGAATTCAATGGTTTTAATAAAACCAGCTTATTAATTGAGAAGACATTTTATGCATTTTAAATTAAATAACATATTGAAAGCTAAGAGAGCAAGAGATATGCGAAAGAGTATTTGAAGTTTTTCTTAATCTCTTGATAATACTTTCTAGTAGCAAACCTGCATCTGATTGAGGAAAGCAGGTTATTCCTTGAAATGCTACTCCATGTATATACATACGATTGTGCCATTTTTTCAATGGGTGGCCAGCAGATATACTGTGGGTCTGATTAGACCAATTGGATGCTTTCATGTTTTAACTAAACATTAATACCTGTCATAACATATGCTGTGAAATCATGATGTTCTATTAGTGCTGACTTTTGAGAGTCAAATAACAACACTATGGGGTCACGGTTTGATCTCAGGGAGCTGGCCTACGCAATCTTGGAAATACTTGTTTTCTTAATTCAGTATTGCAATGCTTGACATACACCGAACCATTGGCGGCTTATTTGCAAAGTGGGAAGCACCAAATTTCCTGTGAGTTTCCTTTCTGTTAATTTGTATGGTCTTGTCAATAATTTATGTTTACAAATCTTTTATGTTGTCTACATAAAATTGATTTTATGTGATCCTTTGTGACGTATCTGAGTGGTTTTGTAGCTTGCCTTTGTGATTCCATTAATTGAATTTTGTTGTGATGCCAAAGTTCCCATTTGCATCACAAGGTTCCCAGAAATTTTTATGAAAGAAGAAATATTTAGTTTTGTTGTTTGTTAGAAGTTATGTTTGTGCCACATCGATTAGTCATTGGACTGTAAATGGGTATAAGTTTGGGTTGGGAACCTCATTTTGGGCTAGCTTGTGGGGTTGAATTTTACCCAAAACCATCTGTCATTTATAAAATAACTATGAGTGTGGGTTGGGTACCTCATTTTGGGCTAGTGTTTGGGGATGAAATTTACCCAAGCTCATCTGTCATTTATAAAATAACTATATGTCTAAATCTTCTCTTGATCTTCTCAACTCACATATAGTGATTTTCCTAGTAAAACAATTCTGTCTTTGCACTGATGTTCAATTACAATGTGATGAGCTCATTCTGTTAAGCAGGAGAACGATATGAATAGAGGTTATGAAATGTGAGTGTTACAAAAAAAATATTTGAGAAAGATAAGAATTGTTGGTTTTGGATGAATCAAGCCTAAAGGGAGGCAAAGAAAGAGAGGTTGTAGTAAGCCTAAAGTGAATCCCTTGACATATGCACTTGTTTTATTAATTACACCATCTCTAGTGTGCGATTGTAGAATAGAAACATTTGTATAGTGGGTTTCTTTGACTGTCAGAGGTAACTGAAATGCTCGTTTTCCTTCAGCCTTCTCTCTGTTCCTTTGTGCACGTGCTGTGTTGTTAGACCAAACTTATGACCAATGTTTTCAACTATTTTTAACTTAATGTCAGTTTTTAAGTCAAATGGTAAGATAATCTTTTAATCATTTTTGTATGAAGTATTCAAGTACTGTTTCGTCCTTTTTCTGCCTAACAGTCATAAGGGATGTGATGAGAAATATATTTGTTTCTAGGGAAAAAAAAAAGTTCAGAGCTAAAACGGTACAAGTCCGAGAGTTAAGTTTCCTCGTGCATATTACTTCAACTAATTGCTAAGAAAAGCTTCATGAAAGATACAAACCTTTTTCTACATGTCTGAGCGTTTTGGTTTGTTTCTGTCAGATTGCATGCTTTTATTTCCCTTTCTTGTTGGGAACTATTTTCTTCTTTATTCTAAACATCCTCTTATGGTTGATGAAGGCCGTACTTCTGGCTTTTGTGCTCTTTGCGCTATTCAGAAGCATGTGAGCCGTGCTCTACAGTCAACTGGGAGAATTGTGGAGCCCAAAGATCTTGTTTCCAACTTGCGATGTATCCTGCAAAAGAAATGCTTTTCATTTGTTTGGGGTGTTTATATACTTCTTTCTTTTTTGTTTGACTTTTGAGCCAGTCCTCTTCTAGCATACCTTTTGAAAGTTATTTATTTGTTATTTCCAATTTTATGACTCAAATAAAATAGGGAATCATATTCATGGTTTTTAAATGCCAAGTTTTTTTTTTTACCTTATATTTCATCTTCTTACAAATGTTGAAGTTCTCAGATATTAATGTAGCTGTCATCTTCATATACTGTTATTGCACCTTTCCCCCTTCCCCTATCTTTTTTAGAAATTGAGATCATGTAGACGATCGTATTCTTCATTCTCATGTCTTGTTCCAATGTCTCACACTATTCCTTGTCTTGTTCTTTTTCTTCTTTCTGTGGTAATTTTATTAGTGCTGTCTTTATTCTTGCTCAGTTGTAGAGTCATCTCACGACGTAGTTACTGATTCTTGTTCTCTTCATGTTATATACATGGTTCTCGTTGTGGTTTTTAATACATTTTAATTTTACTCTTTAGTTGGAATCCTTGATCAAGATACCAGGTATATCTCGAAATTTTCGAATTGCGAGGCAAGAAGATGCACATGAGTACATGGTGAATTTGCTAGAATCAATGCACAGGTGCTGCTTGCCATCTGGAGTTCCTAGCGAATCACCTGGTGCTTATGAGAAAAGTTTAGTTCATAAGATATTTGGTGGTCGTCTAAGGAGTCAGGTAATCCAGTGGCTGCGAGACGTATATAAGAAAACATAATACCTTAGTGTTTTCTTTCTTTCTAGGGGTATATGTTTCTTGCGTTTTTTATTTGGTCTGCTGACATCTTGTTTACTTGTTAGGTGAAATGTATGCAGTGTTCCTACTGCTCCAACAAGTTTGACCCCTTCTTGGATTTAAGTCTAGAAATAGTGAAAGCAGATTCACTACTTAAGGCTCTTGCTCATTTCACTGCCAAAGAGCAGTTAGATGGGGGTGCCAAGCAGTACCACTGTGAGCAATGCAAACAGAAAGTTAGGGCCCTCAAGCAACTAACGATTCACAAAGCGCCTCATGTGCTTACTGTTCACCTAAAACGATTCGGTTCTCATGCACCTGGTCAGAAAATTGATAAGAAGATTGCCTTTGGACCTACTTTGGACTTAAAACCATTTGTAACTGGCCCCAATGTAAGTTTCACGTGCGCACCTGTACTTCAATATATTATGTTTTTTGTTTTTGTCTTAGTAGAACTGTGTCAATTTATATATATTCATGTGGATTCTTTTATTTTGTGGTACCATTCATATGAACCTGCCTTTGGTCTTCTGTGAGATTATGCTTGACCCCCAAACCGTTGCATGCTGTGTCATCATAATTTTGATGAACTTATTATGCTTTTGCTTCCTCTTTTTCTATTATGTATAAAATTTCAGGATGGGGATCTAAATTACACTCTGTATGGTGTCCTTGTTCATGCTGGTTGGAGCACTCGTTCTGGCCACTACTACTGCTTCGTTCGCACCTCAAGTGGCATGTGGTATTCCCTGGACGACAATCAGGTATGAGGAAATAAATCATTATGCGGGAGTTTAAGATATAAGTGTAATGCTTTTTATTGCTCCCAGTCATGAATGTGGTTCAGATGCAAATCCTTTATATCCTTATTTTAGAGTTCTGTTCTTTAATGTGTTCCTTTGTGATATTTTTACAGGTTGTCCAAGTGAGCGAGAGAAGTGTTCTTGAACAGAAAGCGTATATGTTGTTTTATGTCCGGGATAGGAAAAGATTTATCCCAAGGAAACCTGTCAACGTCATCCAGAGAGAAAACATGGTTATGAGCGTCATTGAAAATGAAGCATATTCAAAACTCAACATGGAGTTGAAAGAAAAAATTCAAAATGGCGCAATGGAGAAAAGAATTGACCGTTCTGCCTCAGTGACTTTATCTGGAAGAGATCCACTGGTCTTGGGTGCACTAAAGGGGACTCCTCACAACAAGACGACTTTCCTCACTGGAAACCTCACTGGAAACGGCTCATTATCTGTTGGTAATCTGGGCCATAAGAGGGTCCCGCAGACTGAAAATTCATCGCTAGTGCCACCATTAAAGGAGCAGGTGAAGGATCACGATATTATGAATGTTAATGCTGTGGACGATAAAGAGGGCTCAATTGCTACTGGCGGGGGCTCTGTTGATACTCATAGTCTGAATCGCGCTGCTGAAATTGCTCCCAGCAGCAACAGTGCAAGTGTTTTAGAGGACACGAATGCATCAGGTGCTAAATTACCTGAACGCATTGTACCACAGGATTCGGTTGACAAGAAAGAACCCATAGATTTTGCTGTCACACCATCTACTAGTGAAAAGGAAATTGCTATGGAAAGTTTGTGTAAAATGAACGGTGCCGACTCTGGAGTGGTATTTTCGGCTCTTTTACCGCCTTACAATATTACCATTTTATCAGTTTCCTATATTTCCATTCTTTTGGTTCCTTTTTCTTTTCTCTGTTCTTTTTCCCTGGCATAGAAAGTCTTCGCTGAACTTTGCCTGCTATTTGCTCATTCAGCTTGATGATAAAATCATGCCAATGGAAATGGTTGCTGAAGGATTAACTGAATTTGAACACATGAAATCGACACCGAAATATAGAATTGAAGGGGAGGGTCAGGTACTTTTCTCATTTTCTATGGAAGTATTAAAACTTTTTCTATTAATTTTTTTTAATTGTATAGTAAGTAGAAGTTTAAACAAAAAATAAAATTTTGTCTGCCTTGTCAGCATTTATAGAGTAGTTTGTCAGTTTAATAAATATGGTCTTCCATTAGGCTGGAGACCCCTCTGAGAAGATTGGTAACTCAACCATTGAAGACAATCATGAAAATGGGAAGAGAGTAGAAGCTGTGCAGTTAGGGTTGTCTTCAAGCCCACTAGCCACAACACAACGTGAGGAAACTAAGAAGAAAAGGCCTGAGCTGAAAGTGAAACGGAGACTTTTCAAGTGTCATCTTCGCACCACCTCATTCACTTCCAACATTATATTTGGTGTAGGGCTTGGTATGCGTAAAAAGAAGCTTAAGAAGGTAAGAGAAATGCAAAAGAAAAATCTGAAACACGTGTTGGGTGCGAATGATTTACCCTCGAGCCCTGGGCCATCTTTTGCTAATAGATCATCACCTTTGCTTGATGATTCTGGTTCTCGCCCTCAGAAAAGGAACTCCAAATTTGGCTCAGATGGTAAAAATCAGAAATTGAGCGTACAGAATGTGAGTCGAGAAGGCAGTAGTATATTGAGTGATGTCATCAAAAATGGTTTTAGAGAGAGAGTTTCTGATGGCACCACACCTGCCGAGAAATTACTAAAAAGAAATCCGATAAATGTGATGAGCATGCTGACCAGAGGCTTAGAAGAGACAACTGGTGAGAAACTGAAATTATTTAAATTTGTGATTGTTTACTAACTTTACTATGTTAAAATTGCCCATTGTTGCAACTTCTTTTGGTCTTTGTTTTCATGCTGTAGTTGCTCGTTGGGATGGTATTGATGCTTCCCTCTCTGAAAAGTTAGAAACAAAAGCAGCAGGGACCACTGTCCAAATTGGTTATGTTGGGGATGAATGGTGAGTTTCCATTATAAAATAAACACTGATCCTTGGTCAAATAGATTGCTCGCCTCAGTTCACACAGCATAATTGGTCTTCTTTGCTTCTTTAGGGTATATATTAAGCAAGTGAAAAATTCATTTGTTTTATGTTTCAAGCTTGATGTAAAATTTAACATATTCAACAAGAAGCATCTGCAGATTGTCTATAATAATTTGTGGGAGAAGAAAAAGGATACGTGGTTGCCGAGCCCAATGGCCAATGACTTTGGAAAGGGATATGATAGTGAGGAAAAAAAAAAACAACAACAACAACATTTGAAATTTTAAAGGATTAAATATGGAAGTATCCATCAAGATGATTTTCTGGGAAATAGTTGCTTCTCGAAGCTTTTCCCCGAATACTAGTTCCATTAGTTTCTCATTAGTAGAGGTTTGATGTAATTACATAAGAACCTAGTTACATTTTGTAATTGCTACTAACCCCACTAAACACACGCCCACTTGAGGATTGGATTGCCTTTAACAATTAAATTTCCCTTTTCCTATGTGCAATTTTGAAAATTGAAGCAGAAATGTCTAAGGGTTACTTTGTTAATTTTTCGAGGCATGGTAGCCTGTGTCTTTTGGAGTCTTGACCATCCCATGGTTCCTTCTTTTTTCTTTTTATAAACACTTTCCTTGGTAGTTGTTTGGGTCTGACCGTCTTCATGATGTTGTATAATCCCCTCAGCGCTTTCGTCTTTTCTTGTTTGAAAATGCACATACCAATTGTGATGGTTCTTTTACACAGGGATGAAGAATATGACAGGGGAAAGAGGAAGAAGCTGAGAAGTGCCAAGAACGACTTTAGTGGTCCAAATTTATTCCAAGAATACGCAACGAAAAAATCGAAGCTGAAAAAGGCAAAGCTGAACAGAGCTGAGAACGAACCGTTTAGGATATGATGTGGAGTCATTGGGGAATGCAAGGAGACACATCCCATCGAGACGACCTAAATTTGCAGACCTTGCCTATCATCACGTAATTGTTGTGAGTTTTGTTTTGTACCTGAGGTAGTTGTTACCATACTTCAGCTCGGACATTTACGTAATTTTCTTCCTCTCAACCCTTCTATATTTGTTTTTTGTTTTTTTCTTATTTATTTTCAACTTTTTAGCCTCATTTTGAGAAGAGGCTTTTAACTTGTATTGCATGCTTGTGTTTTGAGATTTGTTCTATTGATGCGTGTTTATTTTCATTTTAGCTTACAGTACTTTTTCTTACCGTATGCACAGATGAGACATGAATTAATTGATATCTTGAATCGAAGCTAGTACCAGTCAAATCTTTAATATTATTTCGGAACTTAATTTACTTGCGTGGTCTAACTTAATAATCTTTTATGACCTTACTTGAGGGACATCATCAAACTAACAGGTTCAACTTAATAGTCCTTCATTAGCTCATTTCGGAGACATCATCAAACTAATACATATTTTGACCGTAAATATTCTAACAGCACATCATACATGTAATGATACTACCCAAAACATGGACACTATTGACTCAACATAATAGATCTCGCTTTTGGTGAATCAAAGTAATAGTTACTACGTACATATGCATGTTTATATCTTACGGGTTGAGAGAACGTAGTAGTTAACTGATGCTTAGTTTGTTTACAACGATCAGTATAGAACGAACTGCCTCTTTTTGTGATCTTGTTCTATGTACAAAATGTACTAGTGCAACTAATCAATTAAGATCAATTGTGTGGTTGACAATACAACCGTTCTAATGGTTTTTTCATTTTCATCTAGGTTGTGAACGAATCATTCTTGTTTTGCAAGTAACTGATAAAATGATTTTATGTTCCTCCGCGATTTACCATTTAATCTACGTGTAAACCAACATAAACTAGAACTAGTGTAATCAAACTTGATTCTCATTCAATAAAAATATTGTAAATAATATCCAAAGCTTTGTGTAAATAATATCCAAAGCAAAACTTTTAGTACATACACCAACATTTATGGTTATGAAAGTCAAATTTTAGGTTGATTTGATATAAAATCAAGGTAATATTATTCTCAAATTTTTAGGATATTCCCATAATAATTTACCATAAGATATTGATGATAATTCGTCACATTGGTATGTATTTCTCTTAAAAATCAAAAAGATATTTGAATACATATTGGTTAATAAATTTAAAATATGTTTTTTTTTTATTTTTTTCTAGAGAATTAGTTGATAAATTTGAATGATAAGATAACAGACAACAAATCTAGAAAATTTTGAGATATATATATATATACATATATATATATATATATATATATATATATATATGAAAATTTAGTGTGTACTCCAAATTTGAATTCTAAATTTAAAAGTCTAATAAGTAATAATTCATAACGTACGGGTCAATAACTTGAACTTAAATGAAATAGTCAATTATTTATAGTTTAATAAATTAATAAACTACTTAATTTTTATATTAGGATAGTAAAAATAAATTCATTTTTAATTAATAGAAAAATATAAGTTTTATAATTATACTTATTATTCACATAGATTTTTAAATATATGATAATAAAAAAATATTTATTTATGAAATCCTATTGTAATCAAATCGAATATATGAATAAAAATTTTAAAATTACACTTATTTTGAAAGTAATATAATGTAATTTATTTAAGTACATACGAGTAGTCTGTACAATTTTAAATAGACATTTTTTCATGTAATTTCGTACAATTTATATTTCATATAACATTTTAAATATATTAATATAGGTAAATTACGTAACATATTAATTCTATACTTTTAATTTATAAATATTATTTAATGAACATTTTGAAATTATAAATATTAACGAATGTCACTTACTTGTGGATCGCACAAGATTCGTATTATTTTCCAAAATGTATAATGGAATGATAATTGAAAGTTATAAAATATAAGATTATTTAACACAGATTGACAAATTTTCAAAATAGAAAAGAATTTACATGACAAAATTCTCATAACAAACGTGACGAAATTATTGTCACGAAAAATGACCAGATAACATGACTGAACTTATAAACGTCATTAAAAGCGAAATATTTGGTGACAAATTTGAAATTCGTCACCTAGACCTATTATGACACGGTGACGATCTATATGAACGATAAAATTTCGTCATTAATGTACTATTGTGACGAAAAATAAGGTTTACATGACGAATTCTATCGTCATGTTTTTCGAAATTTCTTGTAGTAAGAATCAAGTGCAAACCCAAATATACCAAAAAAAATGTATTCGAATCCCGAAGAATGCTCCCCTACCTATGGTGGGCACATTTTAATATGTCCACCGCGTAGGTGGCATGCACTCATTGGTGATGTTAATATGTTTTGAAAATACATCACCAATGAGTGCATGCCACCTACGCGGTGGACATATTAACATGTGCCCACCGTGGGTAGGTGAGCATTTCTCTTCGAATCCCCTCCCTCTATATATTAATCCAGAACGCGCTGAGCCTACGTGACTGCTTCTGGTGCTTCGGAATCCTATGTGACAAAATTACATGCTTCGTTATTAGACTTGAGCAAGGAAATAAATAGCTCGCTAAAGTTGCCGCTATTTGAGAAATAGCTTTTTTTTGGCAGCGTGCCGCTATTTGTATTCATGTGCAATTTAGCCGCTAAATCCCGCTAAATCTCCGCTATAGCTCCGCTATAGCTACAGTGCAATAAACGTTTTAGCCCGCTATTTAAAACCTTGGACTTGAGTAAATTTTAATTTAATTCCAAACCAAAAATAATTATGTTCGGATTACCATAAATATGTTGATTATTTATGGTCATGTTACATGTATTAATTGCATCTTAATATCATTTCTTATTATAACTATTGAATTGTATATATATTTTAAAAGTTAATAACTTTTGCATTTTTTATCAGTTTTACATATGTAATATATCTAATTAATCTTTTTTTTATGAGCTTCGATTTAACATCCATATTGTATGTATAAAAAAAATAATTTATATTTATCTTTATAATGATAATAAAATTATTTTTAATATTAATTAGAAAAATAAAATTATTTATCAACTAATATATTTATATTTCAAATAGTTATATGATATAAGTTATAAAAAGTAATATAATATAACACATGTAAGTAATAAGTAACACATATCATTTTAAAATATATAGTAATATATTTTTTTTGTAAAAGTAAACTAAATTTAATATAGTTTTCTCATTAATTTTAAAATTTAAGAATAATTTTTTAACAAGCACCCGTGTAAATTAAAATTTAAAATAAATATTTTAACAAACACTCGTGTAATACATGTGTGTTGTACTAGTAAAATTTGATAACAAAAAAAATTTCGGCCATTGCTTACAAAAAAAATGAATATTTCAATATAATTTCATTCAAATAAAATTTCGCCACTTTATGCTATAATTTCCTTTATTAATTTTCTAATATAGTAAATAAAACCTTTTTTTTTTTTCGGCGAGAAACATGTACTGTTTTAAAAATAATCGAATCGAACATAGAGATAGAGATAATACCACTAAAAAAATTATTTTATGATTATTCATAGTTATAGTATTATTTTTTCTATTGCATTACAAATAATTATTACTTTTTAAATCATCATGTTATGTTCATTAAAATAATTATTTATTCTCTCATTATATTTATATTTGTACCCTACAATGTCAATCTCTTCTCGATCTACTGAATCGTCATAAAATCTATATAACAGCTCTCCGAACTATTTTTTTCTGCTTTTAATAATTGGTGCAAATTCAAAAACTGTGAAGTGTAGTTTCACCGTAAGTTCAACTTTTTCGCCGGAGGAGTTCCTTTTGCTTCATTCAAGATCGTGGAACAGCATTTCCGTGTGCGTGGGCTATAGCCAAGATCTACAGCTCGCTTCGTTTTTCTCCTCCTCAATCGTGAAAGGTTTGCAGTTATTTCAATCCGCCTTTCAATTTTCTATCCCCAATTATTCTCGGCGTAACAGAGATGGAGGTTAATCGTCAGTTGTTATGATCGTAGTTGTTTTAATGCATTTGCATTCTTTACTCGACGACTCGTCGGATAATTGTTCATGAAATGAATCAAGATTGGTTTCTTGATTTGCTTGTGATCCCCAAATGCCCGAGCTTCTTTTGGCTGATAGGATAACAAAATAAATTTAATTGTGCTTGTGTTGTTTTGAAAACCATTATTTTAATTGAATCAATCCACTTAATCCGACCCTTTCCATTTTTTGAATATGTTCAAATCTTAACTAATCAGGTAATGGCTGAAAAGCAGTTGGAGTAGTGATATCGTGGCTGGAAATATTCGTATTCGGATCAGAATATTGTACAGACAAATTTAGTCGGACCGACTCCACAAAATGTCCCAAGAAGGCGGCGAAAGTAGTGGGGTTGTTGAAAACCCTGCAGAAGATGTTGTGAAACAGGAAGAGAATGAGCAGCTCGACTCGAGCCCAATGGTAGACTCCCGGAATCCTGTTCAGGAGAATGGATACCATGATGGAAATGAAGATTCCAGCAGCCATGATGAGCTTGTACAGATGGTGGCAGAACTCGGTTTCCAGAATGAATATTTGAAGTCACAGTATGAGGGCTTGAAGACTGTTATTCTGGATTCTGATGGGCCAGACCAAGAGAAAGCACAAAGTCATGATGACAGTGTGTTGGGTGGAGATGTGAGACAGATGCTTGAAGAAATAAAATCTCTGAAGACAGAACTTATTGAGGAAAGGCAGACACGAGGTGCTGCAGAGGAAGCTCTCAAGCACCTAAGAGCCGCGCACTCGGATGCCGATCTGAAAGTGCAAGAGCTTTCTACCAAATATGCTGAAGGTTATATTTAAGTTGCTCCGGGTTTTTATTACTCCCAAGTTCATAGATTTTATATTAGTTAACATCTTAAACCTTTTTGTGCATGGCTTTGAAATGGCCTGCTTGATACTTACAATAGCAATGAAGTACTTTCATTTGTTTATTCTTCTCAGTTGTTTGGGTCAGAAAATTTACTGTGGTGTCATTGTGGTATAGCTCAACAGAAGATGGATCAAGAAATAAAAGAACGGGATGAGAAGTACTCTGAGCTTGATTCTAAGTTCAACCGGCTCCATAAAAGAGCTAAACAGCGTATCCAGGAGGTGCAAAAGGTGTGTGGTTTATTTTCTTATATTGATTAATTGATATATTATTAATTCTGTTTCTCTTTCTTTGACCATTTTCTTTTGACCATTCCACTCCTTAATGATGTCATTTTGTGTTTGAGTTTAGTGGATTCAGCAATTTCATGACCGTATTCTTGAGTTTCTATTTTTAGGAGAAAGATGATATTGAAGCCCAGTTAAGTGAAGTTAAGAGCAAAGCTGAACTTGCATCTTCTCAGCTGTCAGCACTGCAGCAAGAGTTGGAGCGCACGCGGCAACATGCAAATGAAGCACTAAAAGCAATGGACACAGAGAGGCAACAATTGCGAAGTACTAACAACAAGTATGATATCAAAAAAGCTTCAAGCCAGGCATTTATTTTTTGCATAAATGCTAATTTTTACTACATTTTTCAAATGATAATTCTTATCTACGAAATGAATATGGGACATTTTCATTCCTAAATGCTCTCCACATCATTCTATGTAGTTGGGTTCTTCGTTTCTTTTTCCTTTTCTGGTTTTTTTGGGAGGGGGAAGTGTGGT